ATACATCAAAATTTTCCCGGGAAAAGTATCGCATGGCAGTCACCTGTTTTTATCTAGCTCTGTTGAACGTTGAGTAATGGGCAAAATTGGCAAATAAAAAAACCAGGCAAAAAAGGTGAAGCTGCAGAAACTGCTGAAAAGCAAAACAGCGAATCGACAGACAGCTTAAGTGAGAAAGAATGAATATATGAAGTTCATATATTTTTTTTGCATCATACGTATCTAATACCGCAGTTCAAAATATATGAACTTCATATATACATTGTATCTTTCCAACTTTATTAGGCAGGGTGCATTGACATGACGTTAATGGCTTTTGTCAAAATTACAAAAGCTTACTTGAAATAAGCGCAACAAAAGTTAGATTTTACATACGTTACAATTAAGCCACTGAGTCTAACCTGCATAGAATAAAATTTGAAATTGATGTAATCATACGCTCCTATTTTTATTCGCTTGAACAAATCCGCCCGTCGTGTGATTGTTGTAAGGTTGATTTCTCTCTTACTGAAGAGAAAAATGAATTAACAAAAGAAAACACTCTCAAGGGGTTACTGTTCGAGTGGAGATACGATTAGATATTTTCGTTTTGTGTGCACTCGTGATCGATTAAATGTGAAAAAGTTCACCACAGGGAAGGTGAACAGTTTTGGCTTGCTGTCATCTGTCTCGAGACGTTTAGCTTCGCGTCTCTTTTTTAAACACATAATGCCGAAGAATAGCAAGCGAAGAAAATTTCGTTAACTCTAGCTATGTGAATTTTAAGGTGGCATGGACTTTTCAAATGCTGAATGAACAAGTACATGTTTGTCACGTTAAATATTGCTCGATGAAAAAATCGTTGTGCTCCGAGAGAAGACACTTCGATAGAGACTGACAATATTATGTGAAGTTATGATATATTAGTGTCTTCATCCAGCATTGCTGCCGAGCGATTCTTCCGGAAAGTAAATCCTTTAACTTTCGCTTTGGTTTGATCCACCCACATGTGACATGTGAAGTCTTTAATCAGGTCACAATGGCGACTGGCGAGTACTGTCAACTATTCGTTCTTCTTATCTCGCCGATTGCGGCTCAATAAAATTTGTTTTTTTTTCTGGTCTATTGCTAGGCAGAAAGGGGCAGCCGGACCCAAAGTTGTTCAATGTCTAGTGGCTGCTAGTGACTGTGATGATCTGTCACTTGTGTCTTACAACAGTGTTAGGGACTGTAACCTATCAGCTGCTCCAAAAACAGCCCCAACATCAGTGCACCATCAGCTAGGACTACTGTCTAAGTCCACCGGTGAAGGGTTGAAGGTATGTCTTAAGACTTCAGGTACCACCATCAATAGTATTGGTATTATTATCAATAACATTGATAGTATTTTTTTTGCCATTTTTACTCAAGTAGAATGGAACTTCTCTTTTAGGATGCCCACCTCCATTTAGGGTGCATATTTTGTAGTACATTGAGGGTGTCCCCCGAACTTAGTGTTCATTGTAATACGCCAAATGATATCAAACCTTGTTCAGTTCGTCTAGACACTTTCCAGTTTTGAATGTGATTGTGGGTTTGTCTCCTCTGCAGCTTTGGCAAGGTTACGGAGGAAACATTTACTTCAATGCCGTCCGTTGTCAGTCAATGCGGATCAACAGCGCCAAGTATGGAAAACTGAAAAAAGACATTACAAAGAGATGGATATCCAAATCTTGTACCCCTATGTACAGAAAAGATGGGTATCAGACACAAGTAGTGAGTTCATCCAAGTCAGACATGGAAATACCGATAGCCTCCTGCAGCAATCTGGGAAGTCTACGCATGAGGTCTTGCAAGGAGAAGAAGTGCAAGACAGCCACGTGTAGACATTGTGAAATTCCTAAACCCTTGACAGGAAAGATATGTAAGGGATTCAGTGAAAAACTACTAACTGAAACTTTTCAGCGGCTTCAGGAAAATGGTGATTATAGACTGAAAGGGGAATCTTTGTCCGTATCTCGAGGGCAAGTTGGCGATGCACTGGTCGATCCTATTGATAAAGTGAGGCAATTTAACACTCAGTTGAAAGGTAGAGACGTTGCTGTGAGTTTGGAGAGAGGCTTCCCAACCCTATTCTCAGACAGTTCATTTTTTTCACACAGTGACCACAGAAGTTCAACTGTGGTTACTGCCAACACAGACCCATTTCTTAAGCTTCCAGTTCTGGGAAACTCTGACGGGAAACACAGAAAGAGCAAAACTGAGAATGGAAGTTCAAGCGAGAACAATAATAACGAGTTGAGGCCTGTGTTCATTATTCCTTTTGGTTCATTTGATGATCCTGTGGACGGGGAACCTGAATCGAAACGAAAAGCAGATAGACGAGAGAAGCCTTCATCCAAGAGCCAGGCAGATCGAAATAACAATTCACCAGGGTCCATGGAAGAGGCTAAGAATTCTTCTGAAAAACTAGACGATTCTGTCATAACAGCCTGTTCCGTAGATAAAGTTACAGACAGCAGTGCTTGTACTGAAGAAAATGGTCAAAATTCCGTCAAGCATTCATTACCAATCTCTGCTAATGATGAAAAGTCGCCATGTAGCCCTCGATCACCCAAACAAACCGCTCCCGACTTTCATCTAAAGAGAGAAATAAGTAACCTTTCCCTGAGTAATTACCTGAAGGCTGTTCCCACACGAAGTTCACACGATCAGGACAGTCTGACGTCCCCTAGGTCAAATCTGATGCCAAAGATGAGTTACACCAAACGATCACGAGCCCTTCCGACATTTTACATGGTGAACAACTCCTTGCATCAAATAAATCCCGCAGGATTTAGTTCACCGCGGACGAATACCTCTCAGGTGTATGGCGGCTATTTTCCAACAACAGGACGAAATGAGTCGAAAGTGTTTTACGCGGAGATCAGCGCCAGCTCAGAGAAGAACTCTTCGCCGAGTGGTGATGGTAAAATGCAAGGATTCTCGAGAAGAAAGAGAAGCACAAGCCCTAAGAAAGCCGTCTCGAACTCTCAGATTCCGTTTTTGTAGGCCAGGTACTTGTCCAGAAAGTCACTATCGCGAAAAAGTGTCGAACGATCGCCAAGAGTTCAAAACTCACTGAAATCTGACAAGAATTTATTACACGTACCAGTTACAGGACACCAATTCTCGAGGTTGAGTGGAGTCAGTGATAGATAACTGTTCCCCTCCGGTAGGGTGAAAAAGAGGCACATCGGTCAAACGTATGCGCATGTGCGAACGACGAATCGACTGCATCCAAAAATGGTGTTTCAACATCGCGCCTCCAGGCCGTCAAAGGCAACTTTCACAGGAATTCTATGACTTTAGTTTTTCTTTCCATAACTTTTATCGCCCTTTAAAGATTTCTACGAAAGTTTAACTTTTTTCGTGAATATGCGTGGCACCGGTCGGCTCTTAGGTTTTAGTCTAAAATTTGTTCGGGAAATTGGTGTGCTCAGTCCTGGTCAAAAATGATCTTTTGCTCTTGCCCAACATTTGACGTCTGTCTTGACTGTAATTAATTAATCAGCGGCAATGCACAGGATTTGAAGATTTTTTCAGGCTGTATTTGCTGTTGCAAGTTTTCTTTGACAAAATCTGAGTCATCAGGTTTTCAACAAGGAGATTTGCTTAGCTTACGTTTATCCGTATCCTTCCCCACAAGGAAAAACGTTTCTACTGGGGGAGGGGGGGGGGTGGTTACGGCTACACGAAAGGCTAAGATTTACCGAGAAAAAAGTTGCTAAGGAAGAAATCTGTGTGTGACTTGATGTGACGATACGTGACGTGAAGATGAATTGTCAAAGACATTGCTTTATGTGTCCACGTTCTAAGAAAAAGTAAAAGTCTACTCCAGCAAGTGTTTCGGCGAATTATTAGGACCGTTGGTATTGGCTTGGCTGTTCAGAACGTTCACATCCATTACTTCAGCTATTAGATCAGAATTAAAGGGACACGGTCACGGTCTGCGCATGCTCGTGTAGCCGACTTTTTCAAGTTGCATTCACAAATTCAAAATGGCGTCTAGCGGAGGATCCGGACATGGCGGTAAACGCATTAACTCAGGGCGGAAACGAAAGGTTGAAGACAGAGGGGAATACAAGAAAGCGTGGCTGAGGAACCATAAGCGTATTTATGTGGAAGAAAAGACATTTAAGTTGTGGCTGCAGGCAAAATTTGATGCAGGTTATGAGTCATTCAGCGACAGCGATTTTACTGATAGGAAAATAAAATAATGCCAGATATCACAGACATTTGTAGCATTTGCGAGGCAGATGTTTATTCTACTACACATTATAATTGGAATACAGGTAAGCCTCAGGCGAACTCTACGGCTTTCATAAATATAGGCAGATGACGACTGCTCGTTCGAATCCTGAAGAAAGGGAATACACAAATTATTTCGTA